GGACTACCCCCTTCCACAGCAAAATGCCTGAGCCCCGGGGGGCCGGGTGTCTTCCTCCAACAAGACTGCACAGTGACGATGGAGTGGGCTCTGGAGTCAGACCACCTAGGTCACCGGCCCTCCTTCTGCTCACCCTTCCTGTCTGTGTGACCTGGGACCAATCACACAAACGTCCCTATGGGGGTTCCCTCCTTTGTGGACTGGGGAAATACAGGTGCCTACCTGGTGGTGACAGTAGTGAAGGTTCACACGGAATCATCAAGGCATGCTAGCTTTCTGTGATGCGGTAGTAGTTCCTACTTTATATAGAATTCATCGCACCCCACAAAGGAGCTGAATGGAGACTGTGACCTTCCCTCAGGAGAGGTTTCCAACCCGACTCCTTTCCCCGGTTTCCTCATCAGGATTCTGCTCCCTCCACGTGTGTCGGCAGTACTGAATGAGAGCGTGGCTGACCTTTGTGTTCCGCTCAGACCCTCATCTATCTTGTCCTCTCGAAACAAACAACATGGTTGGCCTTGACCTTCTCTTTCCTTCAATTTGCTGGCGTGTCATTTTGATAGCGTTCTTTTAACACTTCTGGCCATTCCCTCTCACTTTCACTTGACAGTGGATCTCCTTCTCCCTAACCTTTAAGAAATGTTGAGATTTAGGATTTCATTGCTTCTTGGTTTCCAGTCTCACCCCAGCCAAATTTACCTATCCCCAGAGTTTAAATACCAAGGGCACCTACATCAATCCCGAACACTGATCTGCATCAGACCCCTGCCCTGAGCTCTAGGCCCACGCAATTTAGCTCTGCGTTTCTTGGTAAGTATCTTACAAGCATTATAAGCTCAATGTCTCCAAAAATTAATTTATGCTTCCCTTCCTCCCTTCCAATTTCAGCATGTTCCTCAATGTCCCTCAGGATGGTGGGGGGACTGCCCTTCATTCCTCATGTAGGCACCTGCCTTCCCCCTACTCTTGCTGTGAATTGATGGGAGCAGACAGCCCCATCCCTCTCCCACGGTGCGGGTGGGTGAGAACAGCTGGCCTTGCAGGGATGAGTCCGAGGTTTAGCCAACATAGCCACCAGCACTCATTTCAAAGGGAGACACAAGGGAGTTAGCAAAGAGCTCATGGAAAATTTCCCTCATCTTTGGGTTCCATTTTTCCATGGACATTTTGAAACCCCATTCATAGATTATTTAGGTAAAATAAGATTTCATTAAAATTTAAAAATATATGCTCCAGTGAGGAGTCTATAGCATTACTATTATTAGTCCAAAAAAGTGCTCTGGAGTAGGGCGCCTCAGCTGCTGCCTGAACTTTTCGCAGTTGTTTCTTCTTTTAGTCTCTCTGGTCCCTTCTGCTAACAACGGGGCCTAGATTCGAAGGGTTGGGACTCTCGGGCTTTTACTTAAGTGATCACAATAGTTTCACTATTCAGACTCAAACTCCCCCTCCCACTCCGACCGTGGTCTCAACCAACCTCCGATGAAAACTCAGGCAGGACTGCAAGGGAAGGGAAGACAGAGTCCAACCAGATAAAATGATGCAGGCGTGTGTGCAAAGTTAAACGTTTCTAACCACGTGCAAGAAGGCAATGAGGGTACTGTTATAAAGCAACAACGAGGCCTCCACACACAATTTCATGCCAACCTGCAGTGACCCGACCTGTACAGCTATTCAAATTTGAAGCCCTGCTTGGAGAAGGTAAAAGGTCAAGTGATGGATTTCTTCCCTGTCCTTCAGTGGTGGCTCGGGGGCATGGAGTCTGTCTCCACACCCAGCGGCCCTAGGAGCTCCCTGACAGGACAGAACCCCTGCTGTGGCCACTGTGTTAACCCATCCCACGGGGGGAGGGGGGGGGGGCTGTCTCCCTCTCTTTCCCTGACCCTCAGCTTTCCCAGCACAATGTGCTCTCCCGGGGTGTACCCTCCGGGTAACATGCTCCAAGTATGTGAGAATTATACACTAGACAAGGGTTTTCCTAAACACCCAAATCAGAAAAGGGTTTGATGCGTTCCTGTAATATCATTTTGCAGATAAAAGCACTCTTACCAACCAAAGGAAGATGGCCTAAAAATGGAATATATGGAGCCCCAGCACGAACGAATGTTGAAAGAAAGGAAGAGACAATACTATGTCAGCAATCTTATACTATTTGTTGCTTAATATAAATAAAACCCCTAGAGATAATACAGATATAAAGTACAATATGTATTTATGTAACACATACTTAAATACTAGGAATAAAACTTCCAGCCGTGACAATTGTTTTCTTCGTAAATCGCTGGCAGAAACACACTCATGGTGTAACAAATCAAACTGCATTAATCATTACGGTCAACTTGAAAGTATAAAGACTTATTTACACAAGGATACTTCTCAGAAAAAACTCAACAAAAACCTGTCTTTGAAAAACAACAAAAGTGGTTGTTAATGTAAAATTTTAAACCAAATAATTTCATTACTGTCAAGTAAAGGCTAGAAAACACATAAAATATAAAGTTTTTTCATTTAAAAAAAAAGTCTTTACAGGGACTTGCTGTACCATCTGGTTTAATTTGTTTTGGTGTTTTGCCCAGTGTAGTATCAACTTTCTGAGAAACATAAATTATTAGAAAAATATGAGTGAAGAAGAAATCTGGGTTGAAGACAACAGCCTGACTGTCAATTTGGATGCTCAGAAAAACACCAGTCTGGCAGCCCAGCCCAGCCTGAGTTAATCTAGGCATGAAGCTGGTTCACACAGGGAAACCAGGTCAGGGTGGGCATAAGGAGCTTACTAGGGAAAATAACAATATAGTAATTACGCTTTACAGTAGAAACATCCCCTTGTCTGAGCCCGGCTTCCATCCAGTTCCTTCAGGCTACATTTTAACCGGTCCCTGTTACATTTTAACAAGAGTCTTCTGCAGCGATAAAGCATCACTTGCCATCTTGCTAAATGGAGATTCTGATTCTGTATACCTGGAGTGGACATGCAGAATTTCCAGAGCAGGTTGAGCCAGAATGCAGGCCTGGGAGCCCTGTGCCAGAGCACTTGGGATTCCAATGAAGTTCAGGAGGAAATGAACCTGGCAACTGCTGCCTGGCTCTCAGAGTGCAGGCTCAAGGGTGCTGTTCACACCAGGGTGATAAATGGGGGGCTCCAAAGGTTTGCACACTCTATTTTTCATCTGAATGCCTTTTTTTCTGTCTTCAAACTGATCGCTTTAACACAATGTCACCTCTGCTCAGGCAAAGACACCGGATGGGCTGTGACTCAACTGGCTGCCTCTTGAGGTTTTCCGCCCCCCCACAGGCACTGCTTTGTGGCAACATAAGTGACAATCCTCCCCCAAACCAAACTCTTTTCAATAATTTGAAAATTCTACTCTTGTAAAGAGTTACAGGCGTCTGGGGTCTTAATGGCTTGAAGATAAATAAGCGGCCATCTAGCTCAGAAGCAACAAAGCCCACATGGAAGAAGCACACCAGCCTGTGCGATCACGAGATGTCAAATGGGATCAGGTATCAGGCATCTAAGACCCAGAACAAAATCATACCAAGTGTGAGTGGGGGTGGGGGGGAGGGATGAGGGGTAGAGACCCAAAGTCCATCTGTAGACAATTGGACATCCCCTCACAGAAGGGTCACAAGGAAGAGATGATCTAGTTAGGGTGCAGTATAGCACTGATGAAACACACAAGCTTCCTCTAGTTCTTTAATGCTTCCCCACCACCACCACCACTATCGTGACCTCAGTTTTACCTTACAAATCAGATTAGACCAGAACATGCACACTGCTACAGATAAGAGCCTGCAACACAGAGAATCTAGGATGGATAAACCCCCCAAGGTCAACAAGGAGGGTAGAGATACCAGAAGGATTAGGGGATGGTGGGGGAAGAAAGGGGGAATTGACCACAAGGATCAACATATAACGCCCTCCCAGGGGGACAAACAACAGAAAAGTGGGTACAGGTGACAGAGGACGATGTAAGATATGAAAATAATAATCTATAGCTTATCAAGAATTCATGAGGGAGGGAGTGCGGGGGAGGGAGAAAATGAGGAACTGATAATATTAGGTAGCTAGAGGCAGAACTAAGGGTTGTCCCTCTACATGCCAAAACTTCCCTCCCCCTTACAGGAAGTTGGAAGCTGCTTAAGGCTGACGGCATGCTTACATGCAAGCTCCTGGCCAGGAAGGAGTGGTACACCTGGCTGGGACGCCATCCAGGCCAGGTGGGCTTAATTTAGCCGATGGGGTTAGCCAGTATTGTCGACCACGCCTCTCAATAGGGGCCCTGAAAAGCTAGAAGTTTGCTCTCCTGTGGGCTCGCCCCCAGCAGCTGCCACATAGTTCAGCGTGGCCGGGCCGTGGTCCCTTGCAACCATGCCTGGACTCTGTCTGGCTTATGTTCCGTTTACTGTAAAACCAGAAACTGCTTCTACCCTTTCATAAAACTCACTTGGAGCACAAACCAGGCTTTGGTGTGAATTCTTTCTCACACGAAGCCAAGGGCCGAGGTATATCTCTCCCACGAGAGACCTAACAATACCAAGGGCTCAAGTAGAAAGAAAATGCTTTGAAAATGATGATGGCAACATATGTACCAGTGTGCTTGACACAATGGATGAATGTACGGATTGTGATAAGAGATGTAGGAGCCCCCAATAAAAGTATTTAATAAAAAAATTATTTAAAAAGAAGGAAAGAAAAAGAAAGACCACCACCAACAACAACACAAAGAGGGATGGGCTTGGAATCCCGCAGGGCCCGTGGGTTTGAGCTTTGAAAGCTTTACAAAAGCAGCCTGCCTTCTCCTGCAGAGTGGCAGGTGGGCTGGCATCGCCAGCCTTCCCCTTGGCAGCCCAGGCGCGGGGCCACTGCGCCATGAAGGCTCCGTGTGGTGATTTTCAGCAAAGGCAAACAGCAAGCAGCCGACAATACTCCACACCAGTAATGCATTCACCTGGGACATACATCCCCCAGCAAATCGAGAGGGTCACAAGGATGACCTTACCCGGATGATTTCTTCCACGCAGCTGTTGCTGTCTCCAGGTCGGCTCTCCTGAAAGCAAACAGAGAGGCATTCAGGGTGAGGGTGACAAAGGGACGAGCAACGACAAGGGGGCCGCTGAGAGTCCGTCAGATCAAACGGGTGGGTTTTCAAGACGGAGGGACGTGAAACTGGTTCCCCTCCATGGAACCGGAGGACTTTGGGCCACTGCTGACCCATTTATTAGCGGAGGGGGCCTGTGGGCTGCTACCACCTTTCAGTATTGTGAGAGTGCTTGCATGAACTGTATACGTTATCATTCTTTTGGCTATACAAAAGGGGGGGCTGAAAAATTAGTGGGAAAGGGAATTGAGAGATATTGGAATTTTTCCAATAACTTTTTGAAGCCCCTGGATATTTAACTTATTGAGGAACTGCCTCACTATTTTCCGTGGCAGATGGACCATTTGAAATGCCCATCAGCAACGCACGTAGGTTCTCATTTCTCTAGGTCCTCACTGTTCTGTTCAAGCAGTCTAAGACTGGGATGTTAATTAACAGTGTGAACATCCTTTCGTGGGCTTCAGTGGTCAGTTTCAGATCTTCTTTGGAGAAATTCAAGTCCTTTGCCTATTTTTAAATTGGTTGCTTTGACTATTTTTTTAATTGCATTTTAAAGGTTCTTTATACATTCTGGAAAAAAGCTCTGATACATGGTTTGCAACTAACTATCTTCTTTCATTCCGTGGGCTATCTTTTCACTTTCCCGACAGTATCCTTCTATAGACAATTAAAATGTGTTATGAAGTCCACCCTCGTATCTGATTTGTTGCTTGTGCTTTTGAAGTCTTTATTCCAGAGACCATGCCACACTCCCGATCATAATCACGCACTCAGGCTTTCTTCTAAAGGATTTTCGTTGGCTTCTTTTCATTCAGGGTTAGGCCAGCTCTCCAATTGTTTGGGTGCTTTCAAGGGAAGCTTATTTTCTTACCAATGATTTGGTACATTGTACTTAAATAAGGCCATTCTCTTTTTGTAAATGACCTCATTCTAGTTCCCTGACTTTGGAAAGATCAATGCCAAGGGCAGGAGGACATCACTGTTGTTCGTAGCGCATGAATGCAACACACACACTTATCAATAGAAATTTTTAAAAACCATGTTCCACTGTCAGGAGCAGGAGATCACAAGTGCCCCTGCGCTAATATTTCATGACTGTGTTTCAGAGACTCCGCCCTCTTCCTGCTTTCCTGAAAGATTCCTGAGTTTGGCACCACACTACTCCTAAGTCCTCCTCCCATACCCAGTGCCTTCCTCCTCTATAGGAAATGTCGCAGGTCTGACACTCCAAAAGAACTGGGCAGAGCCCTCTTGTGGTACCTGCTTGAGACGCCATCAAGACAGCTGATGGTAAATCCTGGTCCATCCAAGGTTTGAGCGCCCCTTGGACTGACCAGTGTTCCGCATTCAATGGAATGTGTGGTTTCAACCTTCACATTCACAACCATCCTTACCTCTGACTCCCAAGTCCTGGCCCATTTCTGCTGGCAGAGCAATTGTTAAATTCTTAATGTACTCTCTAGTTTCAATCTTTAAAAAAAATTTAATCACGAACAAATTGACCTCATGTTCTCATAGTGGAATTACCGAGGCATGGCGATATACTAAAAGAGATTCTTCATATTAAACTTTGGAGTTTGAGTCTAAATTCATCTCGATGCCACATTTAAATTTCATTTCAAGTGCTTTATATAAATGGCAGGCTTCTTCTATGACTGCCTCCCTCTATAACCCTGTATTTTCAGTCCCCTATTCTGATAAGGGGATGCACTGAGGAAGGATTAGTTGTCAAATACTCCCCTTATCAGAGGAGACAGGGTGTGTAGGATGGCTACATTAGGCCACCTTGATGGCAGTTCCAACCAGGGTCCTTGAGGTCTGGGCAGATACTATGTTACTTCTTACTACGAAGGACCTTTGTAAAGCTGAGGTTCTAAAACTGAGGCAAAGATAAGGGACTTCCAATAACAGACTCAGGAAGTCCGGGCTTTAGGTTACGGCACAAATCGTCTTTGGCGGAGGGAAATAGAGATCTGCTCAATTTCCGAACATTTGACTCTTAGGAGCCCTGGTGATGGAGTGGGTTACATGTTGTGCTGTAACAAGTTCAACAGTTTGCAACCAGCAGCCATTCTGCAGGACAAAGCTGAGGCTTTGTCTGTGACAGTTTGGGAAACCACAGGGGCTTGTTATGAGTCTGTCCTATGGGATTGTTAAGAGTCAGAACTGACTTGATTGCAATGAGTTGGTTTTTGAGGGACCCAGGAGGAGGCTCCGCGGCGTAACGGGCTAAGCACTGGGCTGGAACTGCAAGGTGGGGGATTCGATCGGCCAGCTGATCCTCGGGAGAGAGGTAAGGCAGTTTACTCCTTGGAAGGTGAAAGATTCACATCCTGAGAAACCCTGGGGAAAGTTCTACTCTGCCATGAGTTGGAACTGACTCAAGGGCAGAAAGTGGGTGGGGAACTGAAGCGGGGTACTACACCGATTTGAATCCCCAAGACCCCATCTGGATCCATGAGGCGCAGCAGGGTAGAGTGTCTGAATCGGAGGTCACTTGAGGCTAACTCAGTGACTTTACCAGACTGAGAAAATGTGGCCCACAGGGGTCAAAGGCTGTGTCCAAAATTACTCTGGTGGTCTGCTCACAATCATACTACTACCACCCCTGCTCTCTCCCTGTCCTCCGTACGCTGTTTCTCTACGCTCAACCGGAGAACGGCTCAGGCTGGGGGGACTTTGATGCTTACTGCAGAAAAGTAAAAGAATCCAGAGAGTGTTTGTATATTTCTAGACTTCAAATTACAGTGAACCCTCGCCACTTCGCGCTTTGACTTCCGCAGCTTCACTCTATCGCGGTTTTTGC